GGTTTTTCCGTAGCTTTGATTGCACTGCTTGGGGACTTGAAAAGTGTTTATAAGCCATCCCTGTAAGCATGTTGTGTTGTCTCATTCGGTTCATATCAGATTATTCCCATCAGAGCTTGTCCCGTGTCTTGGCAAGGTTACAGATGATGAATGACTTCACTTTCAGTTCGTTTTTCATCTTGAGGACATATGCTGCCGTTCCTCCTGACTAATTCAACCCCTGACTTTTCTATACTCTATGCAGGTATTCATATAGCTCTTTTTTCTACCTTAATTGGAATCTCTCTATATTATTGTACATTTTCTGCCTCTTTCTGTCACATGCATAGTTTTCTGCAAGACTTTTCAGGCAGTTTTTTGTGTTGGTTTTGCTTTTTTGTCATTGTTTTCTCGCTGCTTATCTGAGCCCAGGCATCTTCATAATAAAGACTGGTTTGTATAAATGTTTTTTTCAGTTCTACGCATCTGCACATAATGTGTCTGTGTGCATATTTAGGCCTCATATAATAAGAAATAAACAAACATTTAGAAATACTGAGAAACTACATTGAGACACAACATCTGCAAATTGGTTGTTTCTGCAACAGCCAATTTAGATGATCAATGTTCTAAATATTTTCTTAGAAATTAATGAACCACTGGAATACCATACGATACCATAAATTATTGTCAAATTGCCATTTGTTGTAGAACAATCAATCTGAAAGCACAAGACGTTGAATCAAAAATGACAAAACCAGATTACATGACGAGGGGGGAAAAGTCATATTTGAGAAGCTGCTTGTTTTTTACTAGATGAATTAATAACATGATAGAAAGTAAGGCTCTAGGTAGCAATTATAATTTATTATTATACAACTGAATATCCCCTTGTTATTTATTTGATTATCATCAAATGATTCAGTTAATGAAGATTCAAAAATGGTGGAAAAATATATTGTTTTTTAGAGGGCAAACATGTCTCTGACTCACTGGAAATCGAAACATATATTACACAAACACAGGGCTCAACCAAGACAATATTAAAAATGTAAAAAGTGAGTCTCTGAAGGATTCTTTGCTTTTAAATATTTCAACAATTAACTAATAGTCATTTTCCCACTGGACTCATTTAATATGGAACCAATATTTTGTTATAGTTAAAGGCGTTCAAATTAAAATATTCAATTAGCCCTTTCATCCTTCATCACCCCCAAAGAAATACATTTTTGTACACATTTAAACAGGACCACACTCAATCACCCTGCAATGATCAGCATAGACATGAGTAAAAAAAAAAAAAACAAAAGAGAAAAAAAAAAAAAAAAAAAACACAGTGTGCTTTCATACGAATCCGCAATAATCTTCACTAGTCTGAATGAATCAAAGCGACTCAACATGGATTAATAACAAGGATTAGTGAGACATAAACTGCAGCAGAGGCAAAAGAAAAAGGGACAGAACGACATATTTATTTGAGTCTAAATCTACAAGTATACAGTTGTGGTCAGAGGTCTACATACACTCAGTGGATATCACAGCAATTTGGGCTTTTAGTGATTTCTGTGAACTGTTCTTCTTCCAGCGAGGAATAGTTTTACAGTACTAATGAGTGGGGGAAAAGGAATTCGGTGCACAAATTTGTGTTTAATATGAATTTGATCTAATCCACAAAGTAGTATACGTATAATGTTGACCAAGTATTGAATAGGAAACTTGTGGTCCCCATTAAAAGATATGTGTAGTACAATCATTCCGCTCTGGAAAAACAGTTCAAAGAATTCGTTAAAAGGTTTTTATGCTGGAGCTGTAGAAGCATTAAATGCTGCAATAACAATATCCACATGAATGTGCTCCGTGCCATAAACGGTGTGTGCAATTTCAGATTGTATGTTATAAGTATTTATATAGTTTATAGCTTTATATTGTTTTTGTGATGAAGATTGCATTTAATTTAATTATATATGTTAAAGTTTATAAATACAAAACAGATATTCTCTTTTCTTCTAAAAGCTCAAAACTATACCGTGACATTCGCGGCCAGGTTGAGTGTTTATAAAAAATCTGACCACAACTAGGTCTACATACAGTGTAATCAGTAATTATATAACATTTCATAACTCTCGAGTAATTTTGCTGCTGCTTTGATATCCTGCTTTATGGACCAAAAGGCAGCTGTGCTTGTTTTGTCTTTTTAAGAGTTTATTTTTTGCCAGTAAAACAGCTGAACCATCTGCAGAGTTTAGGGGCATCAAAGGTCCTGATGAAGCACTTATGGGGAGTTCATCTTTGAGATTCTAGTAATCAAGCAGGCAGTTCTATCACAAGGAAGGCAGAAGAAAGAAACAAGACAGCGAGGAGCAGACAAAAGCTCAGGCAGAAAGAGGCAGACAGTAAAGACAAGCACCTCTTTTAAGCTGCTCCATAATAAAGCATGAAATAGGCTGGTTAAGTCGTGGCTCTGGCACGGACACTAGTCCACTTCAGAGAGCTACATCCTCAATCAAAGAAGAAATGCAACAACAAAGATGTACTCTGTGCACAGTATAATTGCTTTCATGTCCACAAAAACAGAAGCATCTGGGTGTTAAACAAATTGAATGCGTCGAAATTGTAGTTGTGCATAAAATTTAACACCCACACTCCCTCCAAATCAAAAGAATCCAGCAAAGTGGACTGCAATGCACTGACCTGAACTACAAATAAGACAAAATACAGACAGACACTGAAAATCTCAAGGCCGAGCTTGTCAGTAAAGGTAACCCGAGCCGTTATGTTGCCATGAGAATAGGGACAGTGAAGTCCTATCACCTCTACAAGAAGGTCGACAAGCAACACAGCAACCTCTCAGGTGGCAAGAGTGGCTGCCTGACAAGTAGGCTGGCCCCAGAGGAAAAGCCCATGTCGGTGACAGCTTCACTTTACCCTAGGAGATATTTGTGCCTGTCTGTGTCCTGTGTGAGAGTCCTGGAGTGAGTATGTCTGACAGCTACACAGGAAAAAAACACTATTGTGTTGAACCGTTGACATCATGAATGTATTGGTTGTTTAGACCAGTTTGGCACTAGTCTAAAAGCTGTGAATTTAATGTGCAGGCAGAAAACCGACCCATCAAGCAACTGATGCACTTTAAAGATTCCATTCATATTGAAGCAGAGGCTTAAAAATCAACTGCTGAATAGCAGAATTTATAATAATAATAATAATTCTCCTCAAAATACATTTCGCTATTGCACAGAAAAATAAAGTAATTGAGAAATTAAGCTGAACTTTAACCAGATGAGACATGTGTACTCAATTGCTACAGATCATCTACAAGTTTGTCCTCCCCTGAGAAGCTATTCATCCACACTCAGAGCAACCTTAAGAAGCCAGCGCCTGGAAAGAACAAGGTCAGTATGTCATAATGAAATGCAAGTAATACCAACAGGCTGATAAGCATTAAATGAAAAAAGCTCATTTTGTGGTTGAAAAAAAAGAGATGCCAATTTGTAATTAGGCTAAATTAAAAAACACTTACAACATGCAGCTGAATCAGAAGAAAGGAACAGAGCAGTGCACCACAGTTTGCAGAAGCCTCAGTATGGTTGACTGTCCTTCGTAGTTTAAAAAGAATCCAGCCAGCTGTGTTAGTTTCTTGGCTAATAAGCGGAGGTGGCCAGGTCACCTAGCTACCATTACAAGTTGCTAATTAGGTCAAATTGATCCTCAGTCAAATTGAAGGAGGCACTCAAGATTCATATTACCTGGCTGCCTGTAAGACAAATCTCTTCCTTCTCACCAAGAGGGTGAACACTGAGCCCCCATCCTTTAATTTTCATCTATTAGTACCACCATTTTTTCCTAGATTAATCATTATTTGAATTTTGAAAACAAAACAAAACAAGGGGACAACGTTGGCTCACACAGTTACATGGATAATTAAACATAGATCTAGGGGGGAAGTGTGCGCACAAAATGTAAATAATAAATGCCCATCATTATTATTATTATGCATGACAAAATCACTGCAACTCTTAATATTGTTGAAAAATTAAATCTTGTTCGAAAAAGGCTAAACCCACGCTGATGTGAAAACAAGCATGTTCTGTTGGTGAACTTGTCTAATTAAAATTCACATTACAGTTCAGCTCCAACGCAGACTGTGAGTTTCCATGTCTCCAATGTCTCAAAAGACAGAATGTCCCCAGTGCCGCTTTCAAAACACGAGGATACGTTCTGTCTTGCTTGTACTTACAGATGTGCATGCCATAAAAACTAATGATTCTATTGTGTGTCTTAAAGGATTCCCTATATCGTACAAACAAATCTACACTGCATTTGTGTATGTAATCTCTGTGTATGTACACCTACCTATGTAATCATTCATCGCTCAACTACTCCAACTTGCTTTAATTTCAGAAGACACCTAATTGCAATTAAGATGCATGGGGTGTTGAGCTGGGAAGTAAAAGGAAGTAATCAGTGCTGATTATAGAGCCAGAGCCTGATCAGAGTAAATCATATACTGACTGTACGGCTCCTCTGTGCCCGCCTGAATCGGAGTCGGGAATGAGACGGAACAGAGCCTGTTTTTAGTGTGATTATGTCCATGGCAGCACTACAGACTCCAGCTCGCTGCCAGATTTGAAAGGATTATGCCGCGTGTGACACCATGAGGTTGACCTAATCTTGTGGAGAGACACACAAAGATAATTTATGGGTCACATCGGACATGAATCTGTCCAATATGTTTTCCAGCTTTTAAATTTATAGTTTCCCCACCAGTCTCTTTAGTTTCAGTTTATGGGTTTGTTTTGCAAACTGTTCTATATAAAACACAAAGTGCTGCTTATGTATGTGGAGTTTGATTTGTGTATGTAAACACAGGAGCTTAACAAAACTCCAAGTCTAGCTGTCTAGGTCTGCATTCTGAGTGCTGCCAAAATGTGAGGGTTCTGAAAAACCGGTAAAGACATTATGCAAATAAATGTATGTTTTGAATTCTGTATGTTTAAATGAAAATTTGCAAGTATAATAAATCACTTCCCCTGTTTATTTGATGTTAAATGATCCAAGCTGAAATGCATAAGCACATATTGATCTAGCGATGCAGAAGAAGCATGGTGATCTGAAACAGTCAAAACATTTCATGGCAGCATTCAGGTTATAGTTTAAATATGTAAACAGACGGTCTTTGAGGACGGTGTTTTTAAGTACCACCTTTTCATATAATGCTTTTACTTATAGATATAAAAAGCATCTTTTCTTGTACATCAGTTGACTGAAAAGAGTGCACAATATTTGCTTTGCTATGCTCCACACATACATCAGGAGACTATACCATCTCAATGTAGTCGCTAATGAGAAACTTCACTGAAACATTTGGGGAATGAATGCCTTGCTCAAGGGTTTTGACAAGTTTGACTGTGAGTAGAGTCACACATTCATTCTTTCTCAGCCTTATCTTTACTTTATCTATGTATTCAGACTCACTTCTATTACATCAGAGCCCCGGGCCATAGAGGACCAATTTTTTAGTGTGAAAATCCACATGGAAAGCTTCAATCCTGGCTTTAGTCACACCATTTGTTAGCAGTAATGAGGGCAGATGAGAACTGTAGCGTTTTGCAGATTGTGAACATTGGCTATCCAACAGTGACACCTACTGGCTAATAAAGTCAAAATCAATCATTTCAAAAGACATGTCTGATTTTATTTGATATTAATTAATGTAACATTAATTCATATTAAACACACAAAAAGGGATTTAGACTTAGTAGACAATTTCTTAACATTAAGCTAAGTATTTATATAAATGTCAGAGTATCACTGTACTCCCACTTACATAATTCAAACACACATTGGTAATATTACATCTAAACTAATTGTAAAATAGCTAAAAATTCATGTAAAATGAATCTTTTCTTAATGACATGTCAAATGCTCATGATGGTTCATGTTCTTTGCTTCTGTACTTGACTTGAGATGTGAATGAGGAAATACTCTATGTACAAAACAAATGCTCTCTTATTGATGTCTTAATCGAGCAAGTCAGTGAAATTTTCCTGGCAGTACTGTTGAAAGTTGAACTCCTCAACAGTGAAAGGTACATCCTTCCACTTCTTCACTGGGAGCCGCTCTTGACCAGGGCTCTCCAGAACAAAGTTCTTAATGGCTAGATTTGGCAGTATGGCACACTTCTTGTACTTTATTTCATTTCCCCATTTCTGTGAATTTACACAAGAACAACACTCAGAATCCAACACGAGCATGAACGTAACATTGTGTTTTGTTTTTATTTGAAGAGGGTACCTTGCTGCATATTTTACAACTGATTGTACACCCAGGCTCCCAGTCCTCAAAGCTTCTTTCTAGAGTCAGTTGTTCTCCAAATGTATAGTGTTTCCTGAGGACAAACCAAAAGAAAATATATTTTACTTTGTCCCCAAAATGATTTTGCGTTAACTCTTAGATCAGAACATATTTAACTCACTTAAAGTCAGGGTTGACGTTGACGTACATGTTCTCAACTAGCTTGATGTCACTGCCAGAAGCCACAGGGGCAAAACAGTTTCGACACAAGAGCTGGATACTGGAGGCAGTGTTACGACTCCTCTTCTCTGCTTGGCGCCTCTGTTCAATTTTGGTGCAAGTGACTACCATCTCTTGAAGCTGAGTAATCTGGAGACAAGGAAGAATGGAAGGTGGTGTTAATACCACGGGGCTGTGAAATGTATTAAGGACTGGTAGAGTATATACGCTCACCTTTGTGCAAAAGTCTTGAGGGGTCATAGTTTGCACACGGTCAATGGCTTGTCCAGTCAGCTCCTCCAGATATTCATTCATGCGCTCTCGGCGATCTTCACGCCCGCCTGCTTGGGCTACGACTGCATACTGACTGTCTTTTGCTCGTGCACGTCCACTGGCCTGCTGCTGGGCGATCTCATTAGTAAGGAGTCCGTAGCGCACCACCAGGTTGCATTCAGGTATATCAAAACCTTCTTCGCCCACACTGGTGGAGATCAGGAGGTTCAGAGAACCCATACGGAAATTCCTGATTGTTTCTGCCTGTCCATTCTGTAAGAAATATGCAAATAAAAGCATGGAAACATGCAGAAATGTCCATAGAGATGTTACTGAATGTGACTGACTCAAAGCTTATAGGCGAAGACTGTATATCATCATACCTGTGTCATGTAGGTGTTGCCATTACCAGCGCCGATGAAGATGTCTGCCTTGATGCCAACTTCCTGCAATGCCCTGTTTTTGAGGACCCAGTCTTTCAGGCAGTGGGCGCTTTTACGAGTTTTACTGAAGATGATTGCCCTTGATGGGACACCTGACCCAAATTGTTGTAACAGAGTGCTCTGAAGTTCATCCATCTTTGGGTTATCAAAGCGAGAATCCATAGCTAGGTTCTTTAGCTCCACCTGATTCTCTGTGTGCCACAAAATAGTGACGCAAGTGATGGTTATATTTGCTGAAACCATGAAAATGTGGATTATAATGAAAATATGAGGACTCTCACCTTCAAAAAGTTCCAACAGGAAGGTGTCTGTCCCATCAATGGGATTGGTTTTCTTTTTGGAGTAATACTCCTCTAAGGAGCGATAAGCATCAATCATCCGTAAGGTGTCATTGATGAGGAGGGCATCATTATATTCCCTTAGGTGTAACGCACATTGTGCAAGCAGCCTGTTTTTCTCCTGTACGCCTGGTCAAAGAAACAGATGCAAGCAGAAGCATTGTTTCATCTAAAGATTTACTTACTCTAATTAATTCTATGAAAAAATATGCTCAAAACAAAATCACGTTGCAAGGTTAAAAACTAAGTCTGTACCTTGGTGCTCTAGATTCACCACATCTGCCTCATATTCTTGTGTTCCGCACTCTTTAAGTCTGAAGTCTGGGGGAAGGTTCATGCGACTGTGGATGATGTTCATCATCGATATCAGATGATCACGAAACGGATCCTCAAAGAAAAACACGTGTTTGTGTTTACTAGCAGATACTGTTTTTCGACAAGTGGTTGTTGTCCTGAGGCCAGCATTTGTATGATACCTCTGGGACAGCAACTGCTTCAGCCAATAACATAATATTACATTAAATATAAAAAAATGTTTACAGTCTGATACTACAGGGTTATTTTTTATTATATATTAAAATGTGCATTTGCTTCTTAGTTTAGTATTTTTCCATGACTTGTTTAAGATATCTAAACTTAATATGTGTGTGATAGCTAAGGGTCTCTGCTACAATGCAAGTTCAGCATACCCATGATAGCTTAACTGGTTTCACTAACTGTAACGTCAATGGTAAAGCAAATGTGTTAAACAGGCCATTAAGCCAAACCTGAGTTTCCCAATGTAAAAGCATTTTCATGGGAAAGGCATGTTGTTGGCAACATGTGAGCAGTCAAAAACACAAACAGGTTTACAAGCAGCACAGTGAATTATTTCACAAAGAAAGGGAAAGTGGTAAAGCTCTGTCACTAAAACACTGGAAGATCTGATAGATTATTTCTTTTTTTTTCTTTAGATGTGCACTAGAAAACTTTACCATCATTTTTTTCTAAATGAGCAAGTAAAGAATACATACAAAAACATTCAAATTTAAAGTTATCTTGCAATTTTCATATAAGATCAACAAGGTTAACAAGTGCTCTGTTTGTGTTGTTGTTGTGTGATGTTAGGAATGGGAATAGAAACAAAGATAATAAGGGAAAAACATAAACTTTATAGAAGGATACGAAATATTTATCCCATATCTGGCAATTTCTTTTTTATTACAGCAAATGAAAAACAGCTTCTAGTGCTACTGTCACTACAACAACAACAACAACAACAACAATGTGTTGTTTTTATAAATACAAGAAAATTTTAATTTTCGTATTTCAAATAAATGGTCTTATTGAAATAAAAACAGGTATAAAAATATGCTTACTTTAAGTCTTTCTTTTACAATTTTGAAGCTTTTTCTGGGTTTGGGCACCACTTCCTTCAGTTCAGATGCATATTCTTTAGCTGAAACTATGACTGAGTCCAAGTTGGCACAAATCTGAAAGGAGGAGCATTTTCAAGCAAAGCCAGCTAATTAAATAGAGATAAATTATATAAAAAGCTCAAATAAAAAATGAATCCCTGACCTCCAGTACATGCTCCACAGCCTTGTCCAGGGTCTTTGCGCCTCCTGTTCCTGGAGATGCTGTGAGGCCCAAGATCTGTGGCAGTGGTTTTTCTCCCTTCAACTTTTTCTCCACATAGAGTCTCATTACTTTGTTGTAGGCTTCCTCCTTCTGAGTATGGTGGCACTCATCAATTATCAGCAGAGTAATATCTGTAGAAAATCCTCAAGTCAGTTCATTTCAGCATAACAGCATAATCAGACATGTTTAAGCTCACTTTGACTCACCTGAGAGCTCGACATGTCTTGCTTCCTCTTTGTTAATCAGAGCGTTGTACAAGATCTGCGCTGTGCAGATGACTACTTGTGACTGCTTCACCACTAACCCAAAAAAGTCCTTTTCCTTATTCTCTCCACTGACTTTCTTAATAATGAAGGTACAACCCAGGTGAGGCTCAAACTCTTTGTTGTAGTGTTGGTCAACAAGATGAACCTGAATTATAGAGCACATCAAAAACATTATATTTAGTCACCTTTAGTCACAGCAGGTGTATCATAGTTTTTATTGTCTTAAAAATTAAATCCCCTCTTTCTGTTTTAGGTACCTTGTTTACGAGGACGATCACTTTAGCATTTGGTGTGGTCTCCAGGTGTTTTTTGGCCACATACACTGCAGCGCGAGTCTTTCCACCTCCCGTCGGTAACCATATTATGATGTTCTCTCCTTTAAGAGCCCTTTCAACCACTTCCTGCTGGTAGTTATGCAGTCCAAAATCTGCCATTTCGCAGTGCCCTTTTGTTCAGTAATATTTTTGCGTGGCATAGAATACAGATACTGTAGAAGAGAAATGGACACCCAGTTGTGACTTCAAACTCTTAGCCTTAAAAGTCTGCTGGAGCAAAGCTAGTGACAAAACAAACAGAAAGAAAGTCAGCCTTCTGAACTCACCAGTGACGAAGCTCTGTGTAGTTTCTTCTCTTTTTCAGCCGTCACAAGACAGTTGCAAGCTGGTGATGTTTTCAATTTTGTTTGGACTGCCTGTGTCACGTGGAAACTGGAAAATGAAACTTATCTGAACTCAGAAAGTTGGCCCTCATGAGGGAGTCTCTGGATGAACAGAAGGTGATTACTAAAATATCTACTCTTAACTCGCTCTGCCTATTGTTTTTAGTTTTGCTTTCCTCATGTAACAAACAGCTTGTTAGTGTTGCAAAAAAAAAATAAATCCCCTTGTCTGTTTTAATGTCAGCTCACGTAACTTGATCTCTACCCTCTGGCAAAAGAGCTTCAGCAGTATTTGGTTTCAGTTTCCTTTCATTGTGTTACAGTCAAATTCTTCATCTTTACAATGTAGTCTAAATGTTTATAGATCTAAACCATAAAAAAACTAATTTCAGCTGTTAGTTGACAATGACATTTTCTAAAGACTGAGCTCAAATGAAACATCTAAATTTGAGATAATCAATGTATGCACAATATCATATTTTTGTAAACTAATTTGTAGTATTACATCTAAGTGCACTTTAAAATGACTACAATGGTTCATGGAAATTTTTGATGACATAAAGTGTACACGATGGTTAAGGTTCATGTTACAGCAGGAGATAGTTTTATCATTTGCTTCTGTGGTGGACTTGAGAGGAAAGTGAAGAACTCCTTACAACAACATGCAAAGGGGATGATACAATGGCCGTGGTCTGGGTTCATTCAAACGTCCAGCTGCAAAATGATTAACTTGCATTTTCTTAATGAAAATAGGCTCACAAACTCCAGTAGATTGCAAAAGAAAACCCCCTTTCCTCCCTTACAGGGGTCTCAATTGTGAGAACGTCATGATGTTAACAAATATTTATTTCTCTTTCAATGTTTTCCTTCCACCCTGAATCTCCAGAGAAAAATACATAGTCACTGTGGATAGGGCAGTAAGACAGTCTTCTTGTACGTTATCCTATTCCTGTGTATTTACATAAGAACAACACAATCCCTAACTATGGATCTATTTGCACTAGGGCTGCAACAGAAGACTATTTTGGTAGTCGACTAATCTGCCAATTTTTCTTTGATTAGTCAACGAGTATTTCAATAACTCTTATCTTCGCTTCCTGTAGGCAAACCTGTTCTAGGGTATCTCACCTGCTCAGGTGATTAGCTAGCATATCCTGAGAAGTTTCCGACCGGTAAGCTAACATAAACATGAACATAAACATTACTGTACAAGCATTAACATGGAATTACTGTACAAACGTTAACATAAACACGGTCAACGCAACGCACTAGCTCTCTCAAACTGACCCATTCAGAGTTGACGTCACAGCTCCAGGGTGCTTCCTGTAACTGCGGTCAAGTGAGCCCTCACACACGAAGTCAGGTCAAGCTAGCCGCACCGCCGGCCGCACCTACAATCGTATTGCACTTTTCTTCCGTATATTACGGTACGGGTGCCGACAGGCTTAGAAGCACTTCTGGATACTTGCATTTTTCCTTTTCTCAATTCTCAAGTACGCGAGTCCGTTCTCATTTTAGACTGCAGGACCAGCAGCTGATGCTGTGTACAAGTATGGGCATCATCAGTGACAGAGATGCCAAAAGGAAGAGCAAATTCATCTGCAAGGTTAGAAGCAGCACTGGTGGGCGAAGGTCAGAGGTCACTGAACAAACGGCTCTCCATTATAGACACCCCATCACACCTGCTTCATTCCACCTTTGTAAAGCAGCATAGCTTCTTCTCCCTCTAACTGATTCAACCTTTCAGCCATGAAGTACACGTCAGGAAATCATTCCTATTGTTATGTCTGTAAAAGTGTACAATAACTCTTCGGTATGTAGCACGATCAATACAATGTCTGTGCCTTCACCTGGAGACTGGCGGTCCATCCCACAAGGATTTCAGGAGCGCTGGAACTTCCCTCTCTGCTGTGGAGCTCTGGATGGGAAGCACGTCCAGAAAAAGGCCCCCCATACATCATATAGGAGACACACACATTAATATACACTAAATATTTATTTCATTTCTTTTTTTGTGGTGCCCAAATTTATGCACCTGCTTAATTTTCTTTAAACAATTATTGCACACTTTTTGTAAATCCAGTAAACTTCTTTTCACTTCTCAAATATCACTGTGTGTCTCCTATATGATATATTTAACTGACATTTTTTATTGTAACAACCAACGATTTATACAGGAAAATAATGGCTATTAACAAGGTTGCCCAAACTTTTTTGCGGTGTGAACACACCATAGAATCCAGTGAAATATTCACGTCACCTTTAACAATTTTCTTGTTATAAAATTAAAAAAATACACAATATCAAAAATACAGCACAGCAGTTTAGTTGGGGATAAGGTCAGGTTGAACAAAAATATACAGTATAGTGAGAAGACAAATGTATTGTCAACTCTTACCGAATTTGTAATTCTTTTTATTATTTTTAAAGTGTAGTGTAATAATTATATATTAATGTATGTCATATAAATACATATATATATAGCTAATATTTCAAATCTCGAAGTGGATTAAGAAGTAAATTAGTGAAAAATGCAAGTATTCAGAAGACTGTTTCTAACCCAGTCGGCACCCGTACCGTAATATGTGTATGAAAAGTGCAACAGGATTGTATAGGTGCAGCTGGCGCCAGGGCTCACTTGATCGCAGTCTTCCTGTAGTGTACTGCAGTGTAGTATACCTTGTATTACAAAAACATATTTATTAGTATTAGTATGAAAAGTAGACAGTATAATTCTGCGTCTACAAATTTTTATAGTCAACGTCATCGATTATGTCGACAAATCGTGCAGCCCAATTTGACACTAGTGTTTAAAGTATTATTAAATTATAGTATTATTATTATAGTATTATTAAACACAGTATTAAAGTCTGTGCCCTGTTTAAATTACTATATCTGATTCTACATCCAGGCGCCCAGTTCCCAAAATGTTAGAAATGTTGACGTTCACTGAACTGAGAGCACAACATGTCTTAATACCTCCTTGTTAGTCAGAGCATTGTATAAGAGCTGTGCTGTGCAGATGAAAGGCTCTGACGTCTGCACCAGTAACACAAAGAAATGCTTCTTATTGGTCTCTCCACTGACTTGGTCCAGCTCTTTGCTCTCAAACTCTTTTCTTCAGGATTGGCCAACAAGACAAACCTAAATTATGGATTGCATTAAATAATAACTTGTCATCATCTTCAGCTAGAGAAGCTTGACATAGCCAGGCTTTCTGTCTTAGTTAAGCCAGGCTTTCTGCTTAGGGCTCTGTGTGCACTCAGAGGAAATAAAGCATTTGATGGATCATTTTACACTTCTTCTGCACAAAAATGACAGATTTGACAGATGCCTAGTTCAGACTGACACTAGGAGTCAGTCAAATAAAGATGTATAAAGAATATTTACAGCTAAAGCCAGCACTGGTGTTGCAAATAAGTCAAGAGAGCTGCAGACAATCAGTAATAATTTGAATTAATGAGTTTATAGATTTATTTTACGACTCAGTAATAAATTACATCTAAACTTAAGCTCTAAAATAGATCTAATAAAGATTCAGTGTTCAGACCTGATACTATCCCACTGCTTAGTGAAGGTTAAATGCCTCATCCGTGGCCAGATCACAGCAAAATATATATTTTTTGACTTATCCTTGGGAATAAATCTGCTTTAAACAGACTTTATAATTGTAAAACATGTATGCCTTACTCCAGTGTGACAAATTGCAATTTGAAATAATCATATCTCTAATGTAGATCAGTTATATGGTGTTAAACCACAACAGTTAAAATACATAACTATGTATTGATCCAGTAATACTGAGGGTGCATCCCCAGGTGTTAAAACATTACATTAAAGTCTCTGAAGTCAGCATTTTCACATATCCTTTTTTTTTTGTTTTTATTTATGTAACAGTTTTATACAGACATATAAACAGAAATATATATTTTTATATCCTCATCCCAGCAAATAATGTGTGTCTATTCAGTCAACTGAATGCACATCTCTTTTACAGTGGTTGCCTAGACACATCAGACAACCGTGCTCCTGACGTGGATAATACCATAATTTATAGAAACAGTTGGGGATTAAATGCCTTGCTCATGAGTCTGTCATGTTTGACTGTGGCCTGTAAGTCATTCATTCTCAGTATATTTCCACATTATCTGCAGATTCAGACATTTCCATTACATCCACATCTTTCAATGTGAAAATCCTCGTGGAAAGCTTTAATCCTGGCTTTACGAAAACATTTCTTGTGCTATCCAAGACTGACACCTACTGATTAATAAAGGCAAACTTATGAAAAATCAATCATTTCAAAAGGAGCATTTGTTTAAATTAATCAAATTTAGATTTAGTTTAAAAATGTATATGCTACAATATAGAAAAAATAAAAAGGATGATTTCATCTGTTAGTGAACAATGATAATTCTTAAGATTAGGCTCTCATAAAACATCTGATTTAGTTACAGAAATTGTCCACAATGTCAAACTTCATACACACATCAGCAGCATTACATCTGAACACATTTTAAAATAGCTAAAACAGTTCATGTTAATTAATCTCCTCTTGATGGCATGTCACATATTCATGATGTTTAAGGGTCATGTTATAGAAGAACGCAAATGAACTCAGGCACTGGGCATAAACGAAGCATTCACTAATTGCTAATTATAAACATGACTGATGCACTAAGGTTTTTAGCTGCCTTAGGCACCACGCAACAAAGATCGGGCATATGTGGAGTGAGTCTGTGTTCATGCAAACATCCAACCATACAACAGTATGGTTTTCTAAAAGAAACTGGAGTCTCAAAATCAAGTAAAGTGCAGAAGAAAACCACACAGAGCTTTCTGGTTCGTGGCTCAATCAAAGAGGTCAGGGAAGTTTTCCTGGCAGTACTCTTCATAGTCGAAGTCCTCAACAGTGAAAGGTACATCTTTCCATTTCTTTACTGTTATCCTGCCTTTGGGGGTTTCCAGGGCAAAGTTCTTAATGGCTAGATTTGGCATTAAGACATGCTTTTTGTATTTTATCTCGAATCCCCATTCCTGTGAATTTGTATAAGAATAACAGTCAGATTCCAACATGAGCATGAACTGCGGATCTATTTAGATACAGTATTAAACAGTGAGTTCACTGTACCTTGTTGCATTTTTTGCATCTGATTCTACACCCAGGCTCCCAGTCCTCAAAGCTCCTTTCTAGAATCACCCGCTCTGCAACTTTGTAGTGATTCCTGAGGACAAACAAGAAGCAACGATATTTTTATTTGGTCTCAACATACTTCTGCTTTAACTCTTAGATCAGAACATCTTTAACTCACTTAAAGTCAGGGCTGACGTTGACATATTGCGTATTGTCAACAAGTTGAATGTCACTGCCAGAAGCCACAGGGGTAAAACAGTTTCGACACAAGAACTGGATACTGGAAGCAGTATTACTCCTCCTCTTCTCCGTTTTGCAGCTTTCTTCAATTTTACTAGAAATAATTGCCTTTCGTTGAAGCTCACTTAACTGGAATCACAGAGGAATGGACGATAATATTAGTAACACTAGGCAGTGAGAGCGAGAGCAGTAAGTTATGGCTCGGTAGTGTCCTTAAACATCACCTTTAAATAAAACTCGTGGTGACTCATACGTTGCACACGGTCAATGGCTTTACCAGTCAGCTCCTCCAGATATTCATTGATGCGCTCTCTGCGATGTTCACGCCCGCCTGCTTGGGCTACGACTGCATACTGACTGTTTTTTGCTCGTGCACGTCCACTGGCCTGCTGCTGGGCGATCTCATTAGTAAGGAGTCCGTAGCGCACCACCAGGTTGCATTCAGGTATATCAAGACCTTCTTCGGCCACACTGGTGGAGATCAGGAGGTTCAGAGAACCCATACGGAAACTCCTGATTGTTTCTGCCTGTTCATTCTATAAGAAATATGCAAATAAAAGCATGGAAACATACAGAAATGTCCATAGAAATGTTACTGAATGTGACTGACTCAAAGCTTATCGGTGAAGACTGTATATCATCATACCTGTGTCATGTAGGTGATGCCATTACCAGCACCAGTGAGGATGTCAGCCTTGATGCCAGCATCTTTCAATGCCCTGTTTTTGAGGACCCAGTCTTTCAGGCAGTGGGTGCTTTTGCGAGTTTTACTGAAGAGAATTCCTCTTGATGGGACACCTGACCCAAACTGTTGTAACAGAGTGCGTTGAAGTTCATCCATCTTTGGGTTCTCAAAGCGAGAATCCATAGCAAGGTTCCTTAGCTCCACCTGATTCTCTGTGTGCCACAAAATAGTAATATTTATATTGGCTGAAATCATCAAAAGTTGCATTATGAGCTACAAAATAAAGTTATGGTATTAACACAAATGTTAGGATTTTCACCTTCAAAAAGTCCCAACAAGAAGAAGTCTGT